TTCTATGGCCACATTGCTTCTTTGTGATGATTTATAAACAGTACGTGGCTTTTATAAAAATTAGGCTATTACCCAAATATATCATTCCACTAAAGGCAGAACAAAAATAGATAAAGATAATCATTTTTTGCATCATATTTGGGATAAGTGGATGTGTACTTTTTCCTCCTCCGGAACCCTGGTGGGATGGTGGGTTATGCATTGGGCTACTAACCACAGGTCAGCAGTTCGAACCCACCAGCCTGTCTGCAGGAGATAGATGAGGCCTTCTGCTGCAGTACAGATTTACAGCCTCAGAAACACTTATACTCCGCTTACAGAGTGACCGTGAGTTCAACTGGACTCGTGGGCAGCGAGTTTGCTTTGTAGTTTGGTAGGAGGCCTGGTGGGACAGTGGTTACGCACTGGGCTGCAATCCATGTTGCCGGCAGTGTGAAACCCCTAGCAGCTCCATGGGAGAACGACTCCGGTAGACAGCTAGTCTCGGAAACCCACAGGGGTGGGGGGTGGGGTGGGGAGAGGGGACTGGGGTGTGTGTGGCTGTCACTATAAATCAGCATTGACGCTATGGCAGCGGGTTTGCTTTTTGGTTTGCCTCAGTAACATTTATGCTTTTAAGTGTGCCAGTGCTCATGGGGAGAAATGTCTTTCCCAATGAACAACTAGCTATCAGACTCACACCTACTGCCTTTGAGGTGATGCTGACCCATAGAGACCTCAAAGGACGGAGTAGAACTGTCCCTTTGGGTTTCAGAGACTAAATCTTTACAGAACCATATTTTGTCTATGGAGAGGCTGGTGGGGGGGAACCAATTACCTAGTGTTTAGCAACTCAATGTTTAACCCTGTACTTCACCAATCGACAGCTCTTTGTGCTGTAGGCTCCTCATCTAAATCTACTCCCCATCAACATGTAGAAAGAAAGGGTGCTGAGAAGTGTCCAGAGGAGAAGAAATGAGCAAAACTCATTGTTCCTACTAAATCCTACATGAATACTGAGGAATATAAATAAATACATGAGATGGAAAAAACAATTCTCTAAAGACCAATTGAAAAGATAATTATACCTTAGCTATATTATCTTAGTACTCTTCAATTAAAAATAAATCTAAGACACAGTTTTTTCTCAGATAATTCTATGTATCCTTCAGAATTCAAGACAGGGTAATTTTCTTTTTTTCCTTCAAATAAGTAGGATGATATTAACTTGAAGATTACCTTAAGTATACCCACTTCTTCCACAGCAGTATTTCTTTCACGCTGAAGTCTTCCCATGTCATCTGCTTCTAAGGAATCACAGGGGAGAAGCTGTCGATATTAAAACACAAGAGAAAAGTTACGTACTGGAAACTCATTACCAGAACTCACATAAAAACCCTTTCCGATTAGTCTTAGACTTTTGTTTTTAGCCAAGTTTTAAGCATTTGCTTTTTAGAGTATAGTTTCTCACTTTGTAGCCATTTTATTAGATAAAAGACATTGTTTAAGTCATGTTGGTATCTTCCGTTGTTTAAGCTTAACCTTACTTTGCTGTTACTAATAGAATTTAGATGCTTATGAGGTGTATGTACTCTCTTGCCACCTGTATGATTCTTTTAACAATATAATTTTGCTGTTTTACAATTCAACAATATAATTTTCCTTAAACCAAATGTCAGAACTGTTCATAACATCAGAAAGACGTTAGGTAATCATCATGTATGTTGATAAACCATTCCCTAAATCATCCACCTCCATGGTACCTATGGCTCTTGGACCTACCAACCCAAATAGTTTATATGTATCCAGTTAAGATTTATTTATTATGTATCTTACTTTTGACAGTAGGAAGATTAGAGATAAAGGGGGTTCTCTCCACCAAATGCCTATGCTAAACAAAACTTATCAGTGCATGCCACAATAAAGGGGTTGCCATGAAATTACCCACACATTACAGATATCTATGGGGACAATCCAAAGCTGAGCATGCTTAGACCCAGGTCACCTAGATCCAGGTTGAGTTCAGCCTGGGCTCACGCACACTAAGCATCACCATCTGCACCTGAACTCAGCCTCTATCGGTCAATAGCCTCAACCATGCGAGCACACACACACAGGACAGGCCACTCCTCCTTCGGGTCCTCTCTTGCAGGCTGGAGTCTAGGATCTGGCCCTCTCAGGGCTGGCACTCGCTCTCTCCTGGACTTTCCTTCATGCGAGCACACACACACACGCGCCACACGAGCACACACACACAGGACAGGCCACTCCTCCTTCGGGTCCTCTCTTGCAGGCTGGAGTTCAGGATCTGGCCCTCTCAGGGCTCGTACTCGCTCTCTCCTGGACTTTCCTTCCTTTTTGCTTCAAGCCCTCGTCAAGCTCTGGGCTCCTCATACAAGGCATTTTTCCCGGTGGATTTCTGCGCTTTCCTGAAGTGGACGGCTGCAGCCATGAGCTCTTGAGTGGCCCCTGTGTGGCCTTGCACGCGTTCCAGAAATAGCGGCACTTTCTGAGACTGTAAGACCTGAAGCTTCCCTTTCCCTCATGAAAGTTACTAGCATTTACGAAAGTGCTTCTGCTTCGTGAATTCTTTTGGCACTGACATGCAAGAACCAAAGTAGACCATACCAGAAACCTAACACTTCCACATCACAAAATGCAATGTAATAGTCGAATGGCTTTAAAAGATTTCTGCAAGGAAACTGTGGATAGAAGATAATATTAATAATTCATGTACAAGTGAACAATAACAACAAAAATAGTTGAGATGGCAATTTCTCTTACTTTTAGCATGATCTCTTTGATAGCCAATTACACGGTAAAATCTAAGGTACAGTCTAATTAAAAATAGAAATCCAAGTCTAGTGACAGTCATATTCCTATGGGGAAGACATAACAGAGCTGAAGAAAGTATATAAAAATATAATTTATAGTAATAAGTGAGGAATAGGATTGCCAACACTCACATCACTCCTTGTCCACCTCTTGGGCAGATATAATTCTACTTATTCTGTAAAGTTCACTCAAATGCCAATTCAGTTATGACTCTTCTTTTACTGTCATTATTTTGACCCTTCTGACAGGAAGTATTCCCTTTTTTAACAATGATCATTTTCTTCCCATTTTCCAGTTTCTTTATGCACAGCTGAGTCTTATATATATCTCTCAACACGTGTCATAACAGCTAACTCAAGGTCATGCAAGCTCTAGTTGATGACTACGGAGTTGATTTTTTATGGATGAGTCTTCAGGGAACTGGCTATCAAGGTTTTTTGTCCTTCCGTCCTGATCCGCATGGCGAGAAAACAGAATGTGAAAGGGAAAGCTAGGGACAGTACATCACTGTAGTAGTTTTTATTCTACTCATGTCAGGGTTTAAAAGGGTGGTTGCAATCTACTCAATTGATTTAACGGCAGCCCAAAGTGTGAAAACTTGGATTTAGGAAATTTGCCATCTCTGTGATGATGCCTTTAACATACTCCACCCATGAGATTTGCTCTGCCAGGGGGAACCATGGTATGATGATGTCATCGTCTGTGTGGCCAGGTTTAGAGACCTGCGCCCTGTGGGCTCCAGGCTGGCATTTCTGTGGGCAACCTGGCAATGATCATTTAAAATCACAGTATGAATATTATCTTGTTGGTATAAATGGGTTGTTGTTTCAAACCTTGGAGTTCTTGTCAAGTGCACAAAAGTAGGACTACCTTGACAGTGCCCCTTCTTCTTTTTTTTTTTTTACATTATTTAATATTTTCATTATATTTTTTCCTTGTAAGCTGGCTCCTTTCATTCATTCCCCTTCATTTTTTTTTCTTTTTTAACATTTTATTAGGGGCTCATACAACTGTTATCCCAATCCATACACACATCAATTGTGTAAAGCACATTTGTACA